AATAGGTGTGTGAAGCAGGAATGGATGGAACATGCTACAGCATTTAATATTTTGTACAATCAGAAGATTTAACAACATCTGAAAGTAAAATTACATTGGCTAGTGCTTTTTGGTGCTTCTTTGAAGGGTCATGAATGAAGACAAACGTGTCCTGAAAACTAGATATGTACTACATCTCGTTCCTGGGAATTTAATTGACTGGAGAATTCTGGAACCTTGCATTTCTTCTTTGGATCACACTGAACCAGTCATTCTAGGAGCAGTTAATATACTGAATTGGAAGTTATTTGTACTGTATGCGTGCTTCAGATGAAACAAGCCTGTTTCGGGGCATGACCATATCTGGAATATCATAAATCACTTTCAGTTTAGAAGCTTACTTTTTAGAAAACCTCCATTTTTAAAGGAAAAATGGAATGTTCCTTAGTTATGAAAGGAAAATTCCTGTATAATAAAAGAAACTTCCAAGCAAAGGATGGCAATGTAAGGCATTTCTCAGTTATATTCCCATAATGAAGAGGGATGTAGGAAGTATTAGCAGAACAGGTCTGAAATAGGCTGAGAAGGAAAGCCTGAGAATATTTCCCACCCTTGAGGAGACAAGGTTAGGAATATTTTTTAGCATTTGCCCAAGATTTTGGGGAAATAGCAGAAGTAAGGGAGCGCGTTTAAAGACTATGTTTAATTATTTAATAAAAGTCATTTCCCTCCTTTGTTTCTATGGTAAGCAAGTGTCTGAAATATCTTTTATCTTCCCTATGTTTCATCTAAATGTTACCTTAGAGACTTTAAAGAATTTCTAAATCAGAAACATTTAATGGTGATAGATAAATAACAGAAAGAGAGTATGACAACCACACAGAAAGCATAAAATGCTTCCCTTCGGTATCACTAATCAATTTTTGTGACTGCATTTACATGGCATCCTTCCTGTGGTTAATGATTTTCTCTATCCTGTGATCTAAACTAAAGCCACATAAATAAACTCTCAACAGGGACTTATGCACACCGCTTGCTTGACCTCACCATGGTAAACTAACTCATTGTATTGTGTTAATAAAGCGTTAATGTAAAGATATAAAGCTACATTCAGCAAAGCAAAATATCACTAGCCAGTGGAAGATTAATACCATGATTCTAAAAGGAATGTAGTTCTTGATTTACAACCATTTGTTTAGTGATAGTTCAAAGTTACAATAGCATTGAAAGAAGTGACTTATGACCAATCCCGATTTTTAACAGCATTCCCATGATCACGTGATCAGGATTTGGGAACTTGGCAAGTAGGATATATTTAGGACAGTTGCAGCATCCTGGGGTCACATGATCACCATTTGCAATCCTCCCAGCCAGCTTCCAACAAACTAAGTCAATGGGTGAAGCAAGATTTGCTAGCAACACCATGCTTCATTTAACAACCGGAGCGATTCCCTTAGCAGCCATGGCAAAAATGTAAAGTTGGGCAGGACTCACTTAACAACTGCCTTGCTTGTGAAGAAGTAATGTGAGGTATTTCAAAGAATGAGGAGGAAAGGGATAAATAAAAACTGAAACACGTTGCCAGATTTAAAAAATTCTTGTAGCCAGCTCTCTGAAGTTGTCTAGGCTCTAGGGCAGGGGTAGGCAACTTGGTTCTTTTATGACTCGTGGACTTCAACTCCCAGAATTCCTGAGCCAGCATGACTGGCTCAGGAATTCTGAGAGTTGAAATTCACAAAAGAGCCAAGGTTGCCTACCCCTGCTCTAGGGAATACATTTTATAGTATATTCCTGCAAGGAATATAAATCCTTCCAACTCTCCACCATTCATTAAGAACTGAAGCTTCTTGGATGAGGAGCGAAATGTCTTCAAGGAAAAAACAACAACCCAAAGAGAACAAAAGTTGTCCTTTGAAAAAGCACCTTTGGGACAAAGATATGCAATATTTCTTAAAATTTCGAATTAAAATATTGATGGAAACAGGTTTGAGGGGTTTAAGGTTCAACAGGACAGTTCTGAAAGGATTCAGAAACGTGAATGGATTCAAGATGTAAAGGTTGCTAGCAATGCGACTACCTCACTGTTTATCCAAAATTCAGAAGGTGCAGTCCCTTACATGCAAATTGCTATCTAGAGTTCCTGGCGAGAGAGTTAAGTTGAATTGACATTTGTTTTCAACGGTTTCGGGGCTGTTGGGTGGGAAGTTAAAGTTAGGTTCTCCTTTTTCACTCCTATGGGAAAAAGAACCGAAACTCGGGGACCGCCCTTGGGCAAGCGCAGGAGTTGGGCTCCCGGACAATTGAGGTGAAATACCCCCCCTCTGAAAGTACAAAAAACAATTCCTTTACACA